TCTAAGCATTTGAATGCTCGGCGAAGTGACCATAACGCACGAAAACCTTATGCAGCAGTTGCGTTGCAATGTGTAATTTTTTTCAAGTCATGACTTGTTGTTACTCCTAAGTCTTTATGTTCTTGAACGCGTGGAAGAGATGTACCATCAATGTTATAATGATAACTATTACGGTATCCGGTGTGCATGAACACACTCTTGCTAGAATTAACTTCTAAGTACCAACCTTGAGCGCGTCTGACTAATTCATCTAAGTCAGCCTGGAGATCTAAACAATCAGTCTCACTTCATATTGTTCTCCGGATTTTTGCATCATCTGCAAACAATAATGTCGAAGACTTAGGCAGCAGCAGTAAGTCATTACCGTGGAGAAGGGAAAGTAGTGGACGTAAGATGATGCCTTGGTGTACACCACTTTTGACCTGCCTCAATTCGGATGTTATTCCGTTGACCTTCACTCTGTCTGCAATCACATGAGAATTTTCCTGTCCTTTCATGTGCAACGTTTGTTGTTTCGAAGCTCGATAGCTTCTACATAAGACCAAAGTCTATGAATATCACATCGACAGTCAGACTTTTATCTATGGCTGCTGTCCAATCCTCCCTCGCAATAAGTAGGTTAGTCAAGCACGAAATCTTGTTACGAAACCCATGTTACTCAGGAGTCGACAGATTGTGTGAATATATGTGACCCAGTAACTTCACCCGAATTATCTTTTCAAGTAACCTAACCACCATGCTGGTAAAGCTGACAGGCCGGAGTTTAAATACGATCTGTCTCTGACCATTCTTAAATATAGGACTGGCTATAGCGTCTTTCCAATCTCTAGGGACTTGGGCGAGTGGGAAAGACACGTTGAAGAGCGTCGCGAGCGGTTTTGAAATGATGTCGCAAGAGATAACAGCAGTCGTGGATGCAACCCGTCAGGGTCCGGTATCATACAAGGTTTGAGGTTATTTATCAATAGAAGAACAGTTTCCTCAGTCAAAAATACAGATCCTATGGCTGGTATATCAGTGTACTTGAGACGAGTATTTGTAGCAATGCACGTAGAGTAGACTTCACGAAAGTGGTTTGGAAAAGACTCAGCTTTTGCCTATTCCGATTCAGTTAGTAAATCTGAATTTTCGTGTAACAGTAAGGGTCGAATATCATAACTACATTTCGTTTGCCGTTTAACACACAAAAACAATGGTTTCGGAGACTTACGGCTATGATATACCAACTGTCGTTCGTAAGTAGTGCGAGATTTATCCATGGTATTTCTACATATATCCTGGATATTTTGGATATTCACACTTAAATTATGCATATGTAATGGCATTGGGCCCTAAACATGCAATCCTTAAAGATGAACACGAGACAACTGGGAAAATAGATATTCAACATGTAACGCGGAGAAAAACCCAACGATGGAGAAGGCGGGAACAATGGATCGAATAAATCGGAACTGATCGGATGGCATGGCTCAACCTCGCAGTCATGGTCGCCCTGTACAACTCACTGTTACCTATATTAGATATATTGCTCTATTTCCAGCCTGAATGTGTTCTCCATCCCATATTGGTAATTGTTACGATACGGTGAGTCAGTGTAGACAATGATGTGACGTTTTCGTAAGATCTTATAGATTAGGCAGTTACATCGTACCAAATTCACAATTTTAGGACTACGTCTATTAATAGGGCAGTACTAATATCATGGTAAACCATAATTCTACACATATCCCGTCGACAAGAATAATTTTTAGAAATGTTTCCTACGCTTCAACAGCTTCGAGTTTCCTTTTTAATCCATGGAGGGAAGTGTGATAGCTTACGTGTTGACCATGGGATAAACGGTGGTGTTACGGACTCGAATGTAGCCTTAAATGTATCCCATTCATCTTCGATCAATCCGTCCGCATCAACTGACCACTCGGTCGAGATAGCACAGTTTCTGATTACCGGAATATTAACTCGCTATATATTGGGACGGGGTGGAGCAGACTCAGACTGTATACCATATGTCCTAAACTTAAAGAAAAGTGCAACGTGATCACCATTCACTAGTGGGGGAAGGTGCCGAATGTCGATGACATCCTCACGGTGGTGGACGAGGGCAAGGTCCAGCAGTGACAGATCATGTATCAAGTCTATATGTGTTGGTTTTGTGATACATTGTACAAGTGCACACTGAATAATGGTTGATAGGAAGTCGCCATCAAACCCCCCATCTGAAGCCATAGACAGTGCGTTGACGTCTCCAATGATGAGATAACATTCCGCCTTACTTCAAGAACATATGTCTTAAGATAAAGTCTTCAGCCGTACAACACGTACTACGGTATATTCTTCTTATAGTCACTAACCTGTTCCTGGACTTAATTGTTCAACATGCTATCCCACATGTACCGCTAACATGCGCCTCCGATTTGATGGATTGTATGCGAAATTGATCCCTAACGTATAGCATTATGCCTTCTCCCTTGCGACTTAAAACTCTATCACTTCTAATACATATGTAGCTTGCAGTGATAGGAGAACTGTCTACATGTATGGTGAACCAAGTTTCTGTGGCAACATTAATATTAAGACTTAATTCATCCCCCGTCAAACTTAGCTCGGTCGTTTAAGTTCGAAGACTATGAACGTTCGTGTAGCGCACATTCAAGGTGTTTTGGGAATTATTTGTTCTACCCATACAGGTCTCGGAAGCATTGGATTCCAAGACCTGACTACTCGAAAATCCTTAGTCGTAAGATTCGTTTCGCCATTTAGCTTTCGTGTTCTTAATTCGGTAAAAGCATTTATAACAGCTAAGGTTGATCGGCTAAGAGTTGACCTCAAACAACTAAGTATCTGTCAAATCAATAGAGTTCAAATATTCATTCACTTCCTAATTTTGTATATTATATTTCCTATTATCTTATATTGCGTGTTGAGAAGCTTTGTTTGTCTGAACAAGTAATCACACGTTCAACTGTGACTGCGCGAAAATCTAAGTAAAGACCTATTGGCTACTAGTTTGGTTTCTTCTATCAATAGCACGAAAGTTACCTATAGGCTCGAGACACTTTTCCACTTGATTCGATCCTCAAGCGGCCAATCTGGTCGGAGACGAATTTTTGAATCACGATTTTAATGTGCGTTATTCAATATTACGACACGTTTTTCAAAATTATCGAGTGACAACTTCACGATATTTCTTGGTTCGGTCTCGCCTCCAACCCATATACCGAGTCGTATTATTTTCTTAATGTGTACCCCTAAGACCCCTCCAGGCAGTACATTTATGATCACGGATTACACTAACTGTCGATCGTGTGCGTGTCTTTTAGCATGGTCTTTATCTATCGACTCCTCTAGATTCCGACTTCCTTGAAATTAGTGTTCGCGGCTTTCGACCGTGATATCAGCTCCTGCGTGTTAGCTGCTGGCATCCTACCGTTAGTTTTCCCGTGTAACAGAGATGTGGGAGTCGAGCAAATGACCCACCACAATATTTGATAAGATCTTACTTTGGGATTTCGGTGAAGTAATCTGACACGCCGAATGAGTCCACTAAGGACTTTCGAAGTAAACGGACGTTATTTTTGACTACCTTTCCTACTCTTCTACGTTTCCGCGTCATCTCTTTCCCATCATTTCAGAATCCACATTAGAACTACTCGGGACGATAATAGTTTTGTCTAGATCATCAGTCGCTGCTATAGCAACTCGGTCACCAATACCTAATGGAGCATCGCTAGTTTACTGTTTCGGGGTAGAAAGATCAATTGCGTGTTACAAAATTGGGTGTCTGGCATGTGCCATGACAGCGCTTACGACACTGACGCAATCTTCGCTATCAGTGCCCATGTTACCAGAGCAACCCTTGTAAGCCTTCGTATTAGCCAACACCAAGAAGCTAATTGCTTCCTGGAGGAGTGATCTTTTGCTGGAACAACAAAACATAGTGAGCCAATGAGAGTTAGGCATGGAGCACCTTTTAAAGGCGGATGGCTTGAGCTGGTATACATCTTATGGAACCACATCTTAAGCTCATCACATTGCATTCCTTCTTCCACAAGGAATAAGCAATATGGCCATCTACATTTGTGAGCGGAACCGATCATCTTAAAATCAACTAAGAATGGTAACACAAAATGTATATGTTAGAAAAATCTCAAACTTCAACTAAATAAAGTCAGAGTCGACCACGTTTGCTTTGATACAACAATACACAAAAGCAGAATGAGAATACACAATAATAATATCACATTAACTGAAATAAATTTAATTAAAGTGTAAGCGGTGGTTTTGTTGCGTAATCCGCGATCAGAACAGTAAATTTAAATCAATGAGAAATAATACCTCTGTGCTTTTTGAATAGCGAGCGGTGTTATCCTAAATCCAATTGGCTCGTCCATTAATTTTAGTCTCGCCGTTTTATCGAATCCTGGGTTATTCACTTCAGAAGGACAGAACTACTCTTTTACATGCCCAAAGGAGCTACTAAATCTTTTCGCTGACGTAAATTCAAACTTAGTGTATTACATCAGTTGTCATTTAATCATTAGGGTATAGAGAACGGAAAAACAACATTCAAACGACCTATAACATTATTAGTATTATTAGACATCCTTTAAAATAAATAAAAAAGCACAGTCTTAACAAAAACTTCAGGAAGAATAAATAGAATTTAGGGGCGCAACAGAGGAAACTGAAGTATAGGTACATCCACTAATCATTACGAGTCGCCAAGTCCAGGAATTTGCTGCTGGCTGGCGTGATCAAAGCGATTTTTAAAGGGCACTACAAGAGGAAACTAGATATATTCTAAGGGAATCAGGACAGTGTTTTATTCTAATTTACTAATATTTCCCCTACACGATAACTTTGCTTGTCTCTCGTTATAGAACACAAGTAGTTCGATGTCAATACAGAATCGAATCAAACGAGAGAATCATTTATTCTAACTGAAAGCATTTAAAACATTTATTTTTTTCTAGCTTTTGTTTTTTCATATAAAAAGATGTGCGATATGACCTTCACTGTGCTAATGCATCTTCAAAGTTTGTTTTGGCTACTGAGTTTTGGTCATGCCCGAGTATCCTCTATGTCCTTTTAGTCCATCCATCTCAGAAATACAGCAGGTGAAACGTGAAGAAATTGAACGTCGAAAAAGGTTAAGAATTTTGCAGGTAGTATTAATGTATGATAAACATAAATAAAGGTCCGAATGCAAGCCAAAAGAAATGCTACCAAAGTTAGAATGTTATACAATGCTAAGAAACAGCAGTTATCAGATGTTGTTGCAAGAGATCTTCAAGTAATCAGTTTTTTTCTCATTTTTCAGATTAAGCGTGTAAGAGGGGATATGAAACTTCTAGAAGCGAAGAAGGATGAATACAGTAATGTTATGAATCAGTACGGAATTGGCCATAGATCTGCGGAAAATTGGGCAAGCCTAATTTCTTAACCGTTAAATAGATTTCCTCATTAACCAATTTCTAAAGATTTGCTAGCCATATATTTTTAAACGTTTCTTAACGTACCAAGTTTTTAGTCACTGTCGTAACGACTTAATGCAATGAGGTTTTAATTCTCCCATGTAAAAATAAACAGAGGCAACGTATCGTGGCTGAATTGTGTCATTCGTTCAATCTACTGCTATTTTAGTATATTATTCGTCTACAGCTTTCCCCAAGTGTTTCAATGGTTCTGGACGAAAGAGAAGCTTTTGCTTGACAGGTCTCCTTACGTAGTATCAGTGAATCACAGATATGGATGATTGATAGTCGTGCATACCGCATTATATCAGGGAATCAATGATTTTTGAGGGTACAGAGAGAAGTGCTACCTGTCGGTAGCTTGAAGGTTCGCTGCGTCGACTGGTGTGATGTGAGCCAATTTCCAATTTTCTGATAGCATGCTTCTGCTTAACGAATGTCAGAACATCACGCCAAGCAGTGTTGTCAAGTTTGAAGCTGTTTCTATCAGTGTAGCAGAATGGACCACATCCGAAAAAAGATAAGTATCGCTTTCTTAGGTACTGCGTTTTCTGTTACACCAATTCAGCGCTCGGATTCACTTCTGAAAGTCCTATGCAGATACAAATTAGGTTTTCATCAATATAGTTTGTGTAGGCCGATTGAAATGTCACAGAGTACTGTTCTGCCAGAAGGTCAGCCTTGTCACTTCCATACCACATTTTACTTGCTGGTGTGCATATATATGTATAGATAAACTGATATTGACTCCTTGAAATGTTTGTTAGTGAGAATAGTTTCATTAGATAATCCAGTTGCTCATTCGATTCGACTAAGTAAATGGAGTAGATTACGTTGTCGAACTGCCTATATTCTCACTGAATCAGTTCTCAAGTCGTAGTCGGATAGACTTCTAGAGGTACGATAGTCAATCTTATAAATATGTGAATTTATACTTTGTAGGAAAGGCAACTATGTGCTGTCAGTTGTGGTTTTCACTTGCTTATCAGTTGAGAAATAAATGGTAAAAGATTGAAATAGTGGTTATATAATAGCAAATGGTTGTTATTTTTATTTTTGCAAAACATAACCTCGGGGTATTCTATTCAGTCTTGTGTTCTCTATCCTGGTAACTGTAACCGGGATAAATCTATGTAAGTGACGAACTGTGACTTGCAAAAAAATACAGGACACACATTTTGTCCTGTTTGAGACCAGTCAGTGTGATACATCGACATCTCACTGTCAATGGTCGAAGTAGGATTCGAATTAATTTCCTCCCATTTAGAGTGCTCAACCGGTCATCTACTGGGTCATTGTGTCCTGGTATGCATTAACTCGTTCAAGAGTTATGGTGTTTATATAATTATTGGTTTTGAATTACCTGTTGTTGTTATTTTTGAATGAATTTTGGTCTTCAGATGATGTGTTTGATGTTCGGAGCGAAAGTTGCTGGGTCCGAGTTGTAGTGTGGACATGGGCATTGATATGGAGGTACATTTAACTGATGAGTCTGAGATAAAGCGAGAGGTTCATCCTATGTTCCACTGCTAGTGACAATTCATCTATTCTATGAAACTTGTGACTTCATGACAATATCGATACAATCTGTTGAGGATACGTGTGTACTGGACAAGACTGATCAAAATCCAGTTAATAACACTAACAGCGGAAAGATTCAAATACTTACAAATGAATAATAACAAGTAAATCAGGTATCAAAACTTTGAACCATAATGTTTCCAGGCGTCGATAATCCCGTCAAGGACACAACAACAAAGAAAATATGTCCTAAAAATAATCGGATAAGAGTTAAGTTGCAATGTGTACCATTTACTTTGAAGACAGCACGCGATTGTATCAAATAAGTACAAGCAATTAACGAAATGAATCGATTTCTCTCCATTCGGAATGAGCAAGTTGCTCCGAATAAGTAGTTTTTGGTGACCAAAACACAATCGAAACTAAATAATGATGAGAGGAAAGAAATCTCACTACATATAAGAAAACGTATGTCGATATCAAACGAAAATGTAGATTTATATGACTGAGAATTCGCTACAATGGGGAAAGCACACTGCACATGTTCCACAAAAATGGTCGGTATTAATGTGAACTACTGAATATTACTAAGTAGTAAAGTGTGACAAATAGAGAAGCGAGCAAGGCTTTCTACTGATTACCATTTGATATTTCTATTCAATCACATCAGATTGTTTTAATAGTTAAATATCGATCTTTATCTAATAAGATTTGGTTGTCACTGACATTTGGACCATCAGCTCAGGTTTTTTAAATATCTGGATGAATCAGTGAATCTTATCTTTTTTGGTGTTTTTACATTGTAAATCTAATTGGCTGACTTATTTCCGATCTTTAATTATTTAAATGTCTTTAGACTGAATGAAATTTTCGAACCTATGAAATTCATCGCACGAATTTTCGGGAATCAAATATTTTCAGGAAGCGGGATTTGTGGAGATTGTAGTAATTTAGTATTTCGTCACTACGATTTCATTCATATTTTCGCACTGATCATTTTTGTTCTGAAAGTAATTTATGTTACATCTTGCAATTATAAAATATTCTATTCCGTTTGTGAGTCAAATAATCATAGAAGGTGTGCCAACCTTATAAGCTTTTTTTATTTATCAAGCTACTACGTATCCGTTTTTGGTTATTTTAGAATGATCCTACCTTAGAAACTTATTGGAATCTGTCTGTAGCCCAGAGACGAGCTAAAGATCGATTTCATATAGCTGTGGACAAACTGCATAAAGAAAAGCTAACTCAAGACCTTGCACAACATGAAACGCAGGAAAGGATTAAAGAAGTTAGAAATACTGAGAAAAAACGAGCTGCTTTAATTGCTTCTCTACCACCACCTAAGGGTATTCTATCTGAAGAAATTCTAAAACCTTCCTTCGGTATGATAGTCCTTGTTAATTAGTTTTATTAGTTCACGAAATTGCTGGTTATTTTCCGTGAAATTATTGGTAATATTTTAGTTTCGACTTTTGATGTAAAAAATCAGTTGTAGTTGACTTGCAATACTGATATTTATATATTCGAAAAATACTTCTAATTCTCTACATATTCTGCAAATTCATTGACTATATTAATAACATTTAGTACTCGTAAAAGAACGGCTTTAGGTGCTCTCAGAAACTGTGAAAAGTTAATTAGTATCACTATTCATAAATTTATTCCGAATATACAAACTGGTTTCATTTTTAGTGACAACTTACCGACATTTATATCTATGACCCGTTTTATATTACTGTTAGTATGTCTGGGCGTTATACTAAATGGTTTGGAATTAATTTCTTGTGTTTTGTGTTCATACTTATGACGAATGACAAACCAAAGGTCAGTATAAGGTCTTTCAAGACCAGTTGATGCGTAACATAATACATACTGTGACATAACAGGAGAAATTAGATTCGCATTTGTGACTCTACACAGCTGATACTAGATACTGATCTGCGATATTAGACAGCAGTACTTGACCAACAGACAATAGGTTTAGTACGCTAAATTCTAAACCGGGCACTAGAACGATATATCAGAGTGCGTAACATTTACGACTCAATTGCCAAACTAATAATCAAAAACCAAAATTATAGACCACAACCAGATAATATCTACACAACGTAGAAATAAATGAACACAATGGAGTCAGTTTTACGTATAGAATTCTTTCATACGAGTTATAGCTGAATATATATCATTACTTATCAAGCAATCTATCTTAAGTTCTCGGACTTGAATAATCACAGTTCAATATGAATGTTCATTTCAGAAAATGTCATATTCGTTACGGTAGTCCTCTGTAGTCTATTAGGAGATATTAAACTAGAGGTTTTGTGACTTCTTAAATATGACAACTCACTCATGTTATCCTTTAAATTGGGTCTACTTGACAATGTGGAATGAATAATTTAAATACCAGCGTCATTGCGGTTGAGTTTAAGGTTTTAATCGAGGAGCTTGAAAAAGCTAGGGATATTTGGGAAATGTGATGTGTCCACACCTACTATTCTACCTTGATCTACACTTTAGTGTGATTATGAATAGGGCTTTCACAATACATCCAACTGGAACAGTAATAACTGTCTCTTACACTGATTGGTGTTGCTGAACTTCCTAAAAAGCTGCTAGTCTGAACTCTGTGATCTATATAATCCTTCACCGAAAGCTTCATTTTATGTCACTCAGTAGGTAGCAGGAGGATAAATATGTCGTTTATCTTTCTGAGAGGTAGGTGTATATTATAATATTGGCCATATATTTTGCTTTTACGTTGATTGAATATTCTGTATATTTTTAAGTACCTAGTCATCCGAATATCTGGGAGTTTTCACCTTTCCCAAATTAGCTTTTTTAGTTTCTCGTACAGATGAATCAAGTAGTTATTTTAATATTTAGCTAACTGATGTTTGGAAAACGTTTCGCCATTCCTAATAAGCCTTTCAATAATGTGTATTTAAATACTTATCCTTTTTTTATCTTCCTTAATAGCTTGTGAACCCTTGGTTCTTGTTTATGACATTGAAGCTAGAAACACAATACATACACAAAATGTGCAATCCGGAGTAGTTATTAAAAACAACGAAGTTGACGAAGAAAAAGATATTGGATCTCAAAGTGCTGCGATTTCAGCGTGCAAAGAAGAACAACGTATACAAGCAATTGAACGTGAAAATGCCATTCATGCCCGTGAAGATCTTATCAAAGCTGATATGCGTGGACGTCAAGCAATGAGAAAGTAAGATGGTGTTTGTGTTGAAAAGGCTTTCAAAATTTAAATAGCTTATTTATTTACTTTAGTCAGTCAGTCAGCTACAACGTAGGACCAGGCACATATGTGCATCGGTTCAAGTTGCCATATCTAATTAGCACGACAATATGAACACCGAATTCATAGAACTAGTTAATTCAGTGGTGATAAAAGCTGTTTGGTTCTAGTTTAAATGATCTAAATATCTTGAAATAATATATGTTCGTTAAATAAACATTAACACTAAAGAATGTTAAACACTTTATATTCCAGTTAATTATTCTTATAACTAAAGACATCACTTCATCATTGCTCCGTAACCTAGCGATTCATAAGGTTTAAAAATTATTATATGTATAACTCATAAACACCATTAGTTCAACAACACACGTTAATTAAATAAACATTTAACTAAGATTATTGCTTTTTCCCGGACTTTGTGTAAAATTTGATTGTTATATGGGTTCACGCGTCAAAATCTACTGTGAGTTCAAACCATGTTTAATCTACTGTATTTTGAACACGTAGGTTGTACTAGTAGGGGTCTTAGCTTTCTTGTTGTTGATACTCGGGAATTCAGTCAGTCAATTTCTTACAATTTTTCACATTGACAAACTCAATTTCATTCAAATTAATCAGTCTCTGTGGGTGTATAAAAATCTTAAGCAGGCGCCTCAATTTTTATTTGAAAGCAACTTAGTAGCTTAGTACATAACTCGTTGATCTTTGAAGTGATAGGTACTGGGTTTGAGTTTCAGTGTGAATACGACCATGTAACTAATGCATCCCAAATAGGACTAAATGCTCATCCTGGGTTCCTTTGTCTAGCTCCAGTTCAAATCAGTTAGTAGTTTCAATCCTAAAGGAGTAGATTTTGTTGAGCTACTGCTGTGTGAGTTTGTACATGTTTTCCAAATTACACTTATATTACCATAACCTCAGATGTACATACATTTAAGTGTAAACGCTGCTGATGCGAATTTCGTGTAATGATTATTGCTGCAGTGTTTTTAAAACATTGATCTTTGCATGAATATGTTTGTGAGTACGAAATAAACGATTGGCTGAAAGAATAAACCAATGTATTCTTATTGTTAATCTGAATCTAAAATGTGTATTTTTGTCTTATTCGGGAAAATGCATATATCAACACCAAGGTATTTATATAGGAACGCTTACTTAAAGGTGAACTATATCCTGAGAAACGTACCCATTAGCATCAAGTCATTCCAAATAATATCCTCTGCCCATGAATTGACTCATAAATCAGCAAACTAGCAGACAATCCTCCGAAGGTTAAAGTGTTGAGTTGTGAGTTTAGGTATCAGAGGTGATAAGATTTCTTACCGACATCTCCACCCAGCAAAAAATTTAAATGGGCTCAGTTATTTTAAAAGTCATAACGAGATTGACTTCCAGTATGAAAATTAACAATAGAATGGAGGTAAACCTCGAATGGGATGAAACACGCATTCTAGATTCCACTGCTAGCCACCATCCAAATTTATACTGAAGTGCTATCGTAGTAGTTGGGATTTTCCTTAGTTGTAACATCATTTTATTTTATCGGATTGTAATCAGCAATCATCTACCTAGCCTTGAATACATATGTTAAATTAGTATATCGAACAATATTATCATCGGTTTCCTTGACATTTGAATTGAATCATGTTTTTTCTACAGTAAAAGTAGGGCATATATTTTCATACTTTATTTAAGCTCTTATATGGAATAACGGCTATATCACATATTTAAAAGGAATGATTCCAGCTTTTTCGGTTTACCTGGTTTAGTGTATTTACTAAATGAAACTCTTATTTGTATTAAACTTGCGTAGTTATTTTACGAGCAGTAAAATACTTTGCAATCTAAAGTATGTAGCAATCCTCCTTCGTTTGTCTATGGAAATTTAACTGAAGTGTTGAAAAATAGTTATTTTTGTTCTGTCTGTCTGTTAACCCTGTGTTTGAGAATTTGCATCCTGTTTAGAACAGTACGTTACAGGTGGTCTGGTAGCTTTTTCAAATTTATCTAGTTGTAACATATACAGTACTTATTAAGCCTGCATTATTTGCTCCTAATTTTAGTTAACAGACTTTCCATCTAGTTTTTGTTTGGTGAAGAGAATCAGACTTTATAATTAGTTTATCAGTTTAAATGTTTGTTACACTTTGCTTACCCCATGGAAATAATTTTTCATGAGTAGATTATAAGGTAATCCGTTGAATTTTCACCACATATCCGTTAAATTATTTTAATATTGAACTGTCTCAGTGAATAGAGCATTTTAGTTTTCTTTGAGAGAGCACTTCTAGTGTAAATGGCTTCGCTATTGTGATTTCATTTCAGAGAGCGTGTCCGTCAATATTATCAAGCTTTACTAAATCGTTTGGATGAAGTCAAGCGTAATGAGGCTTCACTTCGTAGAAGTCAATTATATTCCGAAACCGTTAAAAGCTCCCATGTTCCTGGTGGTGGTCCATTTAATGATGCTGTTGTAAATCGTCGGATGGAAAAAGTCTTTGAGGTATTTATCACTTGTTATTTAAAATTAATCTTTGTGCAGATCAATAGTATTAAATCCTTTCAAAGATCCTAATACAACGACTAACTAGTGTGCAAAATCTCGCAATAGAAACATGGAGTTTTCCTGAAAACTGTACTAATAAGCAAATTAACGCGAGTAATAAGTATTTAGGCACAGATGAATTATGGTTAACAGTTGTAATCCAGGCCAAACTTTTTGTCCTGTTTGAGACCAGTCAGTGTGATACATTGACATCTCACTGTCAATGGTCGAAGTAGGATTCGAATTAATTTCCTCCCATTTAGAGTGCTCAACCGGTCATCTACTGGGTCATTGTGTCCTGGTATGCATTAACTCGTTCAAGAGTTATGGTGTTTATATAATTATTGGTTTTGAATTACCTGTTGTTGTTATTTTTGAATGAATTTTGGTCTTCAGATGATGTGTTTGATGTTCGGAGCGAAAGTTGCTGGGTCCGAGTTGTAGTGTGGACATGGGCATTGATATGGAGGTACATTTAACTGATGAGTCTGAGATAAAGCGAGAGGTTCATCCTATGTTCCACTGCTAGTGACAATTCATCTATTCTATGAAACTTGTGACTTCATGACAATATCGATACAATCTGTTGAGGATACGTGTGTACTGGACAAGACTGATCAAAATCCAGTTAATAACACTAACAGCGGAAAGATTCAAATACTTACAAATGAATAATAACAAGTAAATCAGGTATCAAAACTTTGAACCATAATGTTTCCAGGCGTCGATAATCCCGTCAAGGACACAACAACAAAGAAAATATGTCCTAAAAATAATCGGATAAGAGTTAAGTTGCAATGTGTACCATTTACTTTGAAGACAGCACGCGATTGTATCAAATAAGTACAAGCAATTAACGAAATGAATCGATTTCTCTCCATTCGGAATGAGCAAGTTGCTCCGAATAAGTAGTTTTTGGTGACCAAAACACAATCGAAACTAAATAATGATGAGAGGAAAGAAATCTCACTACATATAAGAAAACGTATGTCGATATCAAACGAAAATGTAGATTTATATGACTGAGAATTCGCTACAATGGGGAAAGCACACTGCACATGTTCCACAAAAATGGTCGGTATTAATGTGAACTACTGAATATTACTAAGTAGTAAAGTGTGACAAATAGAGAAGCGAGCAAGGCTTTCTACTGATTACCATTTGATATTTCTATTCAATCACATCAGATTGTTTTAATAGTTAAATATCGATCTTTATCTAATAAGATTTGGTTGTCACTGACATTTGAACCATCAGCTTGTGTTTTTCTAATATCTAGTTTATCTTAGATTTTTTCCAGTTTTTTAAATGTTTTGAAGTTTTGAAACGTCACATTTCAATTAATATTAAGTGCATGAATCCTTTTCCTAAATGTGACACGTTAATTTCTTCCTAGACTCTTTTACTTAATACTGGCTTGCCCTCTAATCTATCTGCCTTTGATTCCCACCGAGCGCCGCCTCAGCTGCTTGAATTTTGAACAACTTCATCAAAATTGTAATCTCCTATTCACTTACTTCAGTTTTTGGGTAGCTGTAGTCTATCATTCACATTTAGTGATTCAAAGCCTAGTTCACAAATTTACACTTGGTAAAATAGTTTGACAGTTATTAATATACTCTCGTTCAATCATAGATTTAATTCATCATTCATTTGCAATTTACCAGGCTGAATTACTTTATCAGTTGTCAAATTTAAATCGTGAAGAATACATCGATGTTATTGAAGAAAATACTTTGGAAAACGATGATAATAATAATAATAATAATAACGATATAAATAGATATAACGAAGTGTTGGATATGGAATGTAAACAAAAACGCTCATCCGTAAAGGATATAACACTTACTAATGATAGTAATCTCGTTGAACAACCAATGTCGCTGTCAAATTATCGCGTTTTAGAATTTGGTAGGTAGCTCTTATGGAGAAATCTTTTCGAAGTGTATCTTTCGTAATTCATGTATGTCCATTTATCAGATATAATTATTCTCTCCCATTTGTCAACATATTAAATTTTTTCACGTTAGCCTATATACTGCTGTCAATAAATATGTCCTGATTATATGTAATATGCTGATAGTTAGCAGTAGAATTGAGATGGTTTCATCTGTTTTATTTGAGTTTTTCGATAGGATATACATATATCTTTGTATGGGTGGTTTATTTATTGACATGGATAGATCATTTTGATCTGATTACTGAGACAAAGGAAAGTAGGATAATCAAATCACATTTTAAATGTATGTTGCAAGAGTTGGGAATAGATTGCTTCCAGCTCGTTTTTTTCGGATCCCCCAAATCCCCATTCATAAATATAGATAGATGTCCCTCAGCAAATCAAACCATACTTTCAACCAGTGGGATATATCTATTTCTTCAGAAAATGTATCTAACTCATCACCAATAGTGTGTGCTTATCAGTATACCACTTTTCTCTCGAAAAAAATCTTCCTTTTTAGATTTAAATGCTTGGATTGAGGTGTCGGCACATCAAGAATAGCGTACAATAACACAATAGTTTCTAATATCTTTCAAAATGTATTTTTAATGTATTTTGGTTGATGATTATACGGCTAATGTTAGTCTCTATCGATGTTACTTCCAAACTCAGTTGATTTGATGAAATCTTGACATGATTGTAATTGAAAGATGAATGATGTTGTTCACAAAATGTTTTCTTAAATTACAAACAAATGGCATTTCAGGATACAAAACAATTAGCCAACTGATTTATATATATATATATATATATATATATATATATATATATATATATATATATGGAGAGAGAGATAGAGGCAATCAAGCCTTGAATCTTGATATCATTTTATTTAGTACTCGTTAATTAGGCCTACCTAAAACTCTCCTAGCATTGTTTGTTCAACTTTCTTACATTCACTTAACTCAATATTTTATTTCAAATATTTTCATTTTCCTCATAAAGATCAGGATATCAAAGATGTTGATGAAATTTCACATCATGATGAACATTTAAGCATGGAAGAAGAGGAACTAGTGCCTGATGAAAAAAAATCTGTTAACTCGACTGATTTAGGACCTGGTGAAAGACCAATTCTACCTGATATTCGTCGTTGTCGTATTCTTTCTGAATCAATTAATCTTACAAATTCTATTCATAATATAAACCCTAATAAGACATCTAAACTAATTCATGGAAATTCAAAAATATCTCCACAGTCTATTGCATTAAGTAAAACATCATTTGAAAATAATTCTGCTAGCGATATTTGTACAGACGATGAGAACATACAGTTACGTCAAAAATTACTAGAGTATGTTTTATTCTGTTATTATTATTATTATTATTATTATTATTATTATTATTATTATTATTTCACTCATCTCGATTTCCATCTTCTCCCATTTTTTGGTTATAGTTACTAGAAATGCATTTTACAATTTTATGCAGTACGTAGATATAGTAACTCATTAAATTTTACGACAATAAGTGTTAAAAACCTAAGCATTTTTAGGTATTTGTTAAACAGTGTTTCCAGTTTGGAGTTAGTTTTCATCTTGGATTAGTATAAACTGGATAACTATTAGAAATAAATGCTTTGTCCTATTCTGATACCCTATTCTTCAACAGTACGCTCATCTACTATTACACAGAGGATCAAAGTCAAATCTTTCGCGTCTTCTGATAAGTCTTGCTAATTGAACGCTATATTCGGTGCTCAAGCTCTTCTAGTAACTCCCAAGCTACAACTACATAGCGACTTGAACACGAGAGAAAAGGCGCAAAATATGCAAGAAACACTATTCCAAAGGTTCCTATATGTACAGAAAATATAGGGTTTTTATAGTATGTTAGATGTCCTTGTGTTTTCCAGGAAATTCTAGAATGCTACTAAACATATTAGCAGCGTAGTAATCATCCAACCAGAAACTCAAAATATGACTTTCCAACTTCTAGATAATTTTGGCAAAACTTCCAGCGAACGCTGATTAGATAAGATGCTTCTCAGTGTTTCCAGAGCCTTTCTTGGCTTTTTCCGAGGAGTTTTCTGGATCTTCCCAACATCTTCCATTGATTGAGGTATACCTATTGAACAATTAATTTAAACTTGGATTAATTTTAATTTGGTTATTTATTCTCTGAAGGAGTGAATTACACTAAGTCACGAAACGTCAGAAAATCCAATTTTCTACTCATTAGGATATTACGAATATATTATTTTTATTTATAATTAATTTAAAGTCTAGTGACCGGTGAGACCATAATTTATGGATGACCTTCGAGCGATGCTGAAGTGACCTTGAGAATGGGCACCTACTGATTTGGCCTAAATGAAGGTTATAAACCAGTTAGAATTATGGTTAGGGATTAGATTTAGAGTTTTCATTACGAACTGACATCAACTATAATGCCAAGACCCTATTTAACCAAATGGATGGATGAATTTCGCGCCAAAATTCAAGACTCATTATCTTATATCTGATTGGTTTGTCCATAAATTATAGTCTCGCCCATCTGTCTATATTCCAAATATGTCAATGATCATTGATTCTTACTACAAATAAGATTTCTAATTCTAATTCATGTTTAGTCACTTGTGAGAAAAATCATACTTAAATTTTCTAAAGCAAAATGAACCTGCCTATGAAATGGTTTTATTCTTTCTATTTAATTTTGTTAATGATTTAAGATGAAATGTATGTTTAAATCAAGGAGTATTTTTCCATATTGCATAAAATTTTGTCTGCGAATTTATTCAAAATTGATTTTGATTCCGATTGATGTGTATCTTTGATAAATTTATAGAAATACTATTGCCTTGATTATTCTCATATTGTTTCACACCATCAAAACAAAAGTTATTTAGTCAAAGTTCATTATTCATTAAAGATGATGGGATCTAGATTAAGACTCATTCATTAAAATAATTTAAACATTTACGTAATGTTTAATTTCAGTTTATGGATGTCTAAATCATCTGAGATTGTTCACCTTGTTATGAAATTCATTTTCAATAAATATCCGCATACGAAGCGATGACTTAATAGTTAAAGCAGCTGGCATGCAGTCGTTAGGTTGCTCAATAAACCCCCATTCCCCACCGCCTACTAGATGGTATTACTTGGTGTCGTAAAATGTGACTGGAATCCTAGTGCACAGTTCTATATATGCTAATTAAGTTACGTTATCTACAATGGGCTTTGCGTCAAGGACATTATGTAATCAGTTTCCGGTTGTACTATATAAAGTAGACTTTTATTGTTTTCTTAAGTTAACAATTACTTAGTGTATGTATATGTATATACCAGTTAGTTCTTTCGTAATTCTGTATTGACTTAACTACCATTTAGGGTCTGAGGGTTCACCGATATCAAAATATCGTATAATTTGTCAGTTTATTACACTATCAACTTTTAATCTTGCCTTATGTACAAAAATTGTGTTTAGTCTTATAGAATTGCGCATACCTATCAAGCTGTTATTAACAATAAAGTACCTAGTACACTTATGTGCACCGATCCAAGTTTCCCTGCTACATGTAAACAACAAGAGAAAATAACAAGACATATACCAGAAGAACTCAGTTAGTCAGTCAGTAACACCACAGAACTCCGTACGTACGTAGATCAGTTCGAGTTACCACACCACCAGAAGAACTGAAAATGTTTGTAATGTCTACAGTAGTAAGATAAAATTAAAATTGAAAATATCGTTTGAAAGAAAGGATCTAAAAGGTATAAATTAATATGAAAACTCAAAATCTAAATACGGAATAAGCAATCAATGCGTTAGCACCAGTAAAAACCACTTCAAATCATATCACATAAGGTCTCTGACCATTGATATTGATAAATAGGTGAATTTCTATCAAGAAGCCTCTCTCTCTCTCTACATAAGACTAAGACTGGAGCGACCTGTTAACTATTGAAGCACTGGAGTTTCAGCCAGTAAATTGAATGTTCAAATTGTGCTCCTCCATCCTAATTTAAGCAGCTAATTAGCATCACTAATCCTGATACAGTGTGTGTAGTTCATAGCTGAGTACATAAATGTGTACTTGTTAAATGAATTTCAGTATTATGACTCAGGATAACGAGCGATAACTTCATAAATTGAAGTCATACTTTAGTTTGTAGAGGCTACTGTATATGAAACCTACAAACAGTATTGTATTATTTTTAAATTTTTCTATACAAAATCGTTCATACGTTTACAGTGAAGAATTGGACATGATTGATAAACGCATTAATCGACTTCGACTCAGCTCGGCTTGTGATCTTCATGAAAATCAGTCACATTCAGCTAAATTGTCAAGAAAAGATTTGAAGGAATCTACTCAAATAAATGACAATATAACTCCTAGAAATATGTATATAGTTGAAGGTTGTGTTTATGGAGATAATGGAGTTAGTGATAGAAAAGATTCTTCAAATTTACCGATAGATTTATTGAACACAAAACCTAACACAGGTGAAACACCTTCATTATCTTTGATATCACAACCGACTACAACTGCTGCACTGGACGTAAGTACGCTGATTTATCAGCTTTCCTGTTTGATATTTTTATTTATAAATTTATGCTCTGATTGCTCTGAAAAGTATGTTGTTTTACAGTATGTAGAAATGACAACTTGTTTTCACTTTCTGAAAGGTATATTGCCATGTCGTTTTGATATATCTCTTTCATTTATATGAAGATGATTATTTTTCCAGTGTGTAGTTCGCATACGTGTTGGTTTAGTTATATCACTCCTTAATGTGTTGTAAGAAGAAGAATATCGCATTTATGTAAACACTCATCAAAGTTTGAACGAATAGTTTGACAGAAATTGGGCGCTGAGCATATAGAAGTCATTATACGTGAAATAATCTCAGTGTTTAAAATTTAAAGACCTTCAATGTCCCACCCAGGAAACTGATCTGATCTTCACGAAACCTAGGCTCAATGTGTCTTTTGGGCTCCTTTCACTAACACAACACTTTTAGTCTCTATTCCTCATCAGAGTTTACTTTGATACTTCGATGGCTTATCTGAATTTATTGTCTGAGGTGAACTTGATAAACTAGTTTTTCACCATACTATATTTTCATGAATTATTGACTTCCTTTATGTTTTATTCAGGAATGTACACAGTTATTAAACAGTACTTATTTTTGAAAGTATTAGTTAGTTTCTTATAGGAAAATATTACAAAACTAAAAAGTAATATACTTAACTTTGTTTCAATAACTTGTATACATCTTAATCTGGCCATTTGTTCTGACTTTGTTTCATGTCGTATACATTGATAAATGCTTGCGGTGTGGAGATGGTTAAATGTAATGTATTGATTGAGAAATGAAGTAAATTTTACCATACTAATATCAATTACATTATATCATCTTTCATCTCTTAATTACACCTTCAATTGTATTTCAACGTTAATATGGTTTTCAGCATTTACATTAAAACTGCCGTTCATTGTCGTCAAGTTAGTAAATTTGAGGATATATTGCCATAATGTAACTGTAGTCCTAAGAAACCACTAACATTATTTATGATTCAAATACCCAATTATTATAAACAATAATATCAAAATCCTTTTAAAAGGATACATCTTTCACTCTATAACATCAAAACGCTTACATCATTTGATCATCTACTTAAATGCATTATCCAGGTTTCGGCAAATAACCAATGATCAGTCTTTGTAACCACCAATATAGCTGGAAACAAAAGGCTAGTGTCTTGTTGAATTTTATCAATTTAGACTGTAATTCGAAGTATTTTAATTTATTTGTTGAGGATAATATAACGTTTTAAGCAACACAGAAATTATTGTTTGCCTTAAATTCCAACTTTTCCATTATATATTCTGGCCTTGAAATCACTAAAATAATTTTTTTCTGTATAAATATGCATTGCATTCTTTTTTATATAGGTGTTGTCTTCTGAATCGACAGCAGTTGCCCAAAAGATAAGCACAAGTATGGCATCAAATAATCAAAGTAGCTATAATACGGAATCTACTGTTGTCAAATATTGTATTTCAAAGCCGATAACAGGTGTTTTGGCTGAACGTGCTCGTGATCTTATAAGGATTCAAAAAGCTAAGTTGTTAAATCTTGAAAAGTACAAATCTACAGTTGAACTTTCACAATCTTCACATACATCTAACCAAAGTTCTGTTGATATGGACTCGGAGATCTTCACAAATTCTCCAGCTACAAATATGGAAATTAGTGAAAATGAAGATGTGAGTTGTTTCTCTCCAGATGATTCGAAACAGATAATGGATTATTGTTCTATCACTAAAATTGGGAAACATTCTTCTAGTTGGCGCACAAATGACGATAAACAGTCTTTCGAGGTAAATATTAACTTTCTGTACTGATAGTTATGATTGTTACTATGATAATAAGTTTGGACCGGCTTAGTCTTCGGAAATTAAAAGAATCTCCACACAGTAAGCTAGCTAGTTCTTAGGAAGTTGTTTATAGACATTTTCACTTCTAGGAGTATAGCTATGAAAAAAAGACAACATCAAAATGTTTGTCTTTCATAGGGTATCATTGTAAGTTGCTGATTCAAAACTTACTACATTCTCTAATAGGTATAACGCACTGTATATAACATGAGCGATTTTTCGCAACAAAAAATATTAAAGAAACCGTGGAAGTAGTTCAGTATATCGTAAATCAGTCAAAAAGGCAAACAATTCGGAGATGGGATTATAAATGAAAAACGGATCTAACTCGTGTCTCAAATCATACATTTGGAATAGCAGCTAACAATAATTCAGGAGGCTAGTTTAAATAATTATCTCGCTTTTCAATGTGGCCAAATGCTTATACTCTTTATTGATAGCATGAACCAACCTGAGTTAGACTCTACTGAAAACCAGGATGTACTGACTAACTGTTTGTTTCGCCTTAGCTGCAGCGCACATCCACAAAACCAGCACCTTCAGTGTCTGGTGCAGATGCCTAACCTCTCAACCATTGAGCAGTTGTCTATCAGTGTATATATCTAGCCACAATGGATTCGCTATATAACATGACCATCTTACATTGTTTTCGGTGGGTAACTGATTTACACCTGGCCACCACATTTGAACTCGTTATTTTTGTCTCAATAACTGTTACTTACTTTAAACACTGAATTCACTATTTTTCATCGCAGTTTTCTCTACAAAAGAATGAATCGTCGATACCATCTACAGAAACGCCAGTTATTTTTAATAAGTCTGTTCAACCACCGAAAAGTCAACATGACGATGCATACGATAAATCACATTCTAGTGAGATCGTTATTTTTGATGATGCCGCTCAAGATGTGAGCAAAACTCCAGATCATGAATCGTGCTTCGAAACTGTATCTTGTATCAAGAATTTGAATAAGAGTATGTTTATAATTCTTTTTTGAGTATATAAACATATTTTGATCAATTTTACAACGATTTGAAATAAGATCAGATTAAAACCGTTTTGATAGTTGTTATGACAGAAGTGATATTTACCAAAGTACAGTGATAATATACTTTGCATTAAAATATAACAGTTATTACTGGGATGTAATTTACAATATAGATTGTATACTGGTTAGTATTCAGCTCCCAATTAAAAAAGAAACTCATTGAATTATTAAATATTCTGTATTCTTGGCTATTTTTTTGTTCATTGACACTTATGTTTATAAGTAACGAAACTTTTCAAATTCATTCCGGTGAATCGAAAGAAATTATAGTGAAGATAATATCAGTATCATTGACTACGACTACTGTTTATTTAAACTTGTATAAGTTTGAATCATCCCTTTGTTGATATTCTTGATCGAATTTGATCAACCTTAGTTATTATATGAACATCTTGTGCAGATTGCCTCGATATGATCATATTTGGCACAAATTTTATAGAATAAATAAATTGTAGCTAACAATCCAGTCCGTAAAACACGTTTAGTCCTGTTTATGATCCTTTTTTCTACTTTTTTCAAGCATATTAGTTATATGTTGATAATCTTCACAACCTTTTTTCTAGTGAATTACGAATCTTACAAGCATCCACATGAACTAAACACTATTCAAATATCAAATAAAAAAAATCAAAAACTAGAGATAAAGGTTCCTTTTCAATCGTCTCCCTCAGATCCACCTATTAAAATATCTTCACAGTCAACACACTTAGTGGATTTGCCGGCTATGAATAATTTTTCAACAGTTCAGTCACCATCGTCATCATTATCATCATCATCATCTTCATCAACATTATCACCACAATCATCAATGAATTCACCATCGTCGATTGGATCGAAACAAACCATGCCACCGTTATCAAGTTCCGATAAACCGCAATCATTAGAATCATACGCTACATCAGATACTTTAAAAGCTGAATTAAAAGCATTACTAACATCGTCACTGATCAATTCAATTATTAGTCATAATTCAAGTGTAACAACTGATACGAATGATTTGAAAAAATTATTTAGTTCACAAAGTTATCTGTTGTCCTCTCTATCGGGAATTTATCGAAAGTAAGGTACAAAGTTATTTTGTAAAGTGTATTGTATAGGAACGAGATTAATAAGGGAAATTTACTTAATTTTGAGTGGATTACAAAGAGTTGCTGAAATGTTACTATACAGATAATAAAATAGGTTAATGAATTTGAGACTTTCGTAATTATTGGCACGGTGACTGTTGACGGTAGTGATTTATGGAGTTTGTTGATTTTAATTGAGCCACACTATTAAGAATTACTGAGCTCTGGAGTGAACAGCCTATAATTGTTCTCGAAAGTGTAACCACTATTTAAAAAATTCTCGTTATAATCAATTGAGATTGTTTTAATAACATAGCAACGTACATTTTGAACATAATTAACTGGAAAAATAGTCAGTATTCAAACTTTTCACATTTAAAGCCTAGTAATAGGTTCATCCTATTCGTAGCAATTTATTGACATTCATATCATAATGTTAAATTCGTGAATCTTTGCTGAACGTTTTTATTATTATCCTACAGGATGTTTATTTTTGATTCGTTATCAAATACTGGCCCCATACAAAATACGCAAAAACAGACATACACATACACTCCTTAATTAGTGATGAAGTGTGATAAGTAATACCTGGAAGTCAATAAAAGGATTATCATCCACAGTGACTGAATTATTATTTTCGATCATTTTACATATTGACCTTAAAGTTTCAATTATCAATTGTCTAATTTCACTTCATTTACAATATTACCTTGTATAGATGATATCTAGATTCTCTGTGTCAATAATGCTGTTACTGATACTTGATATTATTGTGAACATAACTGTCTACTTACCAATGTATTATGGAATAAAGACTAATATTCCCTCAAATCAATGAAGAAAAAAGCAAGGCCAAGATGATAACAATAAGTGGTCATATCAGTATTTCCTATATAGATACAACTGTACTCAATATGAATGTATATTACATTAGATAATTGTAGTAATACATCAACACAAGATAAAGTTCCATACAATTTCTCTTTTTTGTAAGCTTTGATAAAAATTTAACTGATAACTCTGTGGTGGTCTAACATCAATCGGTTAAGGATCTCAATCAAAAACTTAACGATCTCCACAACTCCTAAACTGATAATTCTGCATAATATGTGAGACTTCTGTCGTTTAAAGTACTAGCTAACATAGTCAACTATCTTAACAATCATGTAACTTTTATATACATTTGTACAGGTAGGTAGGTTTTGAAGCTTTTGTTCAATATGAAGATAACTTTTTTCTAATCAGTGACTGATATTAACTGCAAAATCAGAATGTACTAGATATCTTTTTAGTCATAATCAAGAACTCATATCCAATCCTCATTCATAGACGCTTCCTAAAATTAAATCATGTCATGGGACCAAGATTCCTTCGATACTGTGTTGAAACTCAGTGGTTTATATTTCTAAACTTAGTCAATACAGGTTATAATTTAACAGGGACCCAATATAATCGATGAGTAACTGTCTCACTTCCTAGTTTGTTGATTCCGCAAGTTATAGCTTTCATTTAAAATCTTTGGAAATCCAGCCCGAATCAATTCATTTATTAGGATAGAACTGTTAATATTTGGTATTATCGAATAGTCTGTGAATAGTTTGTACAATTTAAAGATGATTTTTATCGTATACGGATTATCGACATAGTGTTTTACATGATACCCATTCTTGATAAAATTTCATATATATATTTATCGCTTTATTAATGATGATTGTTTATTTTAGTGCGAAAACTCAAACAACTGAAATTTCTTCTGAAACTGAATTACCTTATCCAACCACATCTATTTCTTCAATTTCCTCTTTAAATCCTTCACAATTATCATCGAGCCCAAAAAATGCTCAATTAAAAAAGCTTTCAGGTATATAGAACTGTATTTTATTACAATATTATTTGTTGAGTTTTTTTTATAGTTTAGGGTGGATATTTATAATTGATGGCTATTTTAATGGCTTTTCTATTCATGTAGTAGGCGCTGAATATTGGAAACTTTACAAATGAAACCATTGTGCTTAAAGAATACGATACCATTAAAAGCATCTTTCTTAGCTACAAATCTTCTCTACCAATTCTTATGTGACTACTTATTTTTGTTTTATTATTATAATAATAGATAATACAAGTAATGATCAACAGTCAAATGAAAATTCCACCGAACGTCCTCTTTGTGATGGTCATGCGGATAATCAATCAATCAACAGTAATTACTCAAATAAACTAACTGTGAACAGTGATTCAATTAAAACAATCAAACAACGTATTCTGAATAAATATATAAATGTAAGTTTTTTTTTTATTGTAACAGTCTGTTGTGATTGCTTCAACTATTGATGAGATTTTTCTTGAACATTTTATTTACTAACTTATTGTTTGTTTATGTATAGTCAGTCAATCTGAGAAAAGTATGCTATACATTAACAAATCAATCAGAATTAAGATGTGGGGGGGCTATTGAACATTTTCGTACAAAATTCCAAAGCCAACGATGGATAGTTTGTATTTTATCAGGAGCTAAGTAAAATCAATTAATCTTAAATTAGAAGGACGGTTAAAATTGTTAAATGTAGAATGACTAAGGAATACTGACTATGATTTATGAGTTCTTTATTATTTAGATGTTCTTAATATTTTAAACCAAAGAACTAACTGCATCAATATTCATTTGTATTGGCAAAAAAAAACATTTTTCCTAGAGAATTCTGAACGATTACTTGTAATTCTTAACCTCAGATCTAAATACTTATCCAAGTTTATAATCCTAACTTTAACCTTTTTTGTGCTTTAATATAACAAATTACTCTGAACGGCTAAAGAATAGCTTTGCTTTTTCAAAGTATATATACGATTCACTGAAGGTCTTCAGCAAGGTACATTTCCACCATCATTTTTAGTATTCGATATTTCACAAGTCATTTTTATAGAAATCGTTATATCTAACTATTAATTTGTCCTAATAGGCTACTAAAATAGAGGGTTTGGTATTTAATTTGTCTCTTAATAATGCTACATTGAAGTTTGTATTAAAGAAGTTTATTTAATGATATCTCTGTTAATATTCAATTTTTAGTGAACCGATACAGCATTTCCATAAAATAAACACTGTTGTAAATGAAGCTCAATTTTTAGTTAAATGACAAAATATCTAGTTGTATAAGTGATACAGAGCCTTACCTGTAGTTGTGAATGTATGATATTAATTGACAACTCTTAGCTATTCATATAGGGGCACTTTTCGTTATTTTCTCACATCTGATAAAAAATCGTTTGCTATCGTTTATATTATTTCATTGTTAGTGAATCATAAACTTTGAAGTTTGGCCTCATGTGCTGTTTGTTGCTACTTGATTTTAAATGCTTTCATATGATTTGCTTATGTGGAACCGGCAAGTGAAGAATACTAAATATATGCATAAGTTACCAAATGAAGATGGTAAATTGTCTGTTAGGGCTATACACATTCACCAACTGAGGTCTGTACATTTATTACCTATACTTAACTGCGGCATTCCCCAATGCATTACTGAATGATTGTATTTTCTTATTGATAACCGAGTCCTAAACCTTATCTACTTTCAAAAACGATTGATAAAGATCACCAGTCATAAACTTACCGCAGTATTATATTTTCTGTAACCATCATTTTTCTAACCATGATGTTTTCGCCACTTTTACATATATAGGCTAACAAAGAATGGCTTGTTACTTTATCTGGTTTAAATAATGGTAAATTATTACAAACTCATTCTTCATCGTCATCACATTCAAAGTCAAGTGTAGAATTTCATTGTCTCTCTGAAGTAACTGATCCCAAAGAAATTGATTGGTCTGAAACAAGATCTGATTCATCTTCGTTGCGTTCAAAACAAATTTCCATAAGTAAATCTCCTGAAACTCATGAAAATTTTTCTTCATCTCAAACAATTAGTCCGTTAAGTATGATTTATTCAACACGTTTTAAACCATTACCACGATTAGAGGAGGCAACATCTGAAGAGTCAATACATACTGTTCAAGTTACTTCAGATTTCAACAATCTGTCGAATACACCTTCGTCATGGACAGATAGTAGAAAATCATCAGAATTCGGTAATTTATCTATTTATTCTACAATAAATTCTAGTACGACGTATATGCCTGATAACTTTGTAAAAAATGAAATTACCAATTCATCTATTCAGAACGTACTAAACAACGAAGATTACTCACATCATTTATCTGAGGAAAATGATACAATTAAACAGTTACTTGATAACATTCCAAATACTCCAGTTGAATCAAATAACAATGAGATTGTGCCCTGTCTAGGCTCTAAATTATCATCAACATCTTTGTCAGAGAAATCAGATAATGGGACACTCAATGTTCAGGAATTTGGTCTTAAAATTGTTTCATGTACAATACCTGTTGATGATCAGCGTAACAATGTAATAACAAGTGAAACGCCAGTTATAATCAACGCAATTTCAAGCGATAATATACCCGTCGAAAATCTTTCTGAGGTTTGTTTCAATTCAATCATTTATAATAATTACGTGTTGTTAGATTCTTCCGAGAGGACTGACATGATGCTTGTTATCTTGGGAAGAACTTATCTGAACCATCTTATGACGTATACGATTGTCACCCACTAATACTAGGTACCCAACCAAAATGATTGTTCTCTCATACATCAAACCGACTCAAATCAGGGATACGTTATCATCCTAAGTAACGAGTATATGTCATAACAGTCAAGGAGATTAGGGAAATATGTTACAAAATACACATAATTGTCTGTTTATGTTCATTAACCAATCACGTCAAATATCAAGTACTTTCACTATTTTTCTTTTGATTTGATCTTGTAAATTTTTGTTGTGTTTAGATATGACAAAGCTTTAAATGTTGTGACTAGTGTACGTCAATATTTAATCTGACAATAGGTAGTAAAGTTGAGCGCATGAGCCACCCAGTTTACCTTCAAAGTCTTATTAACTCTAGTGGGTTGTTGGTTGACAAAATTTCGGCACGATTTCAGAATTGTACTTCTGCTCGTACCAGCCTGTGATGTGAATTATCCGTTTGTCTATCAAAGAGCAAGTATACTATTCAGCAATTCTGTTTTAATTTTTGTTGAATATGGTCTTTCAAATTAAAGAAGACTCATAGGTTGTTAGTACTTGGTCATAGGCGTCTTGAAAACATTTCTTGCTTATGATGGGACAGTGGGTTAAACAATTCTGAAATCATATTGTAAGTTAGTTATTAAAGCCGTGAATTTACATTGCCTAAGGTAGCTAGGTATCGTAGCGTGTATGTCGAAACACTTTAAGTTAATTAAGGGACTGATACAATTTGTTATATTACTTTTGATCGTTAATAATATTGTAGGTCTGATATTACTAAACTTTTGGAAGGTAAACTTTTACCCAGTACTATGATGAACAATATGATTTATTAGTTTTATTCATAAAAGTAAATAGTGGTCATCTTGTATATCAAAGAGACTGGATAACAGTTGGGCAACTTGTTCTCATTAACTTTCACGCATTTTTCTCTACTAATGTCAAAAATTGTTACAGTGAAACACCCCACAAGTAGCTAAATAATGCAGCAAAGATATTTTTAGCCAGAACCGACTTGAGTCGAGCTGGTAAATTATGACAGATTTCCCTGAATGTGCTTAGAAATTTAAAGTTGCTACTAATCATCCAAACAACCCTCAATTTATGAACTTAAACTCATTTGATCGGTTAAGCTGTAATCAAATATTTGTATTTCGATGTTTCTTTACACCTCAAAACTGATCGATTGATTGAATTGTAGAAAGCGGCTAGAAAGTCAGTCACAAATGTTTCAGCGTGCCAGCCAACACAAACCACTGATTAAATGCTAAATTATTTCTGCTAATGCAGAGGAGGATATTACACAAAAAGTTTGTTTTTTATTTTCCTACTAGTATAAGTATTCTTATTTAGTATGTCGAAGTTATATTTATCAAGTATTTTGTTTCTTTTTCAGAATTCTCGACCATCTAGTCCTGCTGAAGGGGCAGTTAGTAAATTTTCTCCTAGCTATCATCAAAATGTAAAGTTTAATGTTTCCGCTTCTTTACCGTCTGTCTTTGTTGAGAGTATGGATGGGTGCGAAAAATATCAAAGACAAACTGAGACAGTGCATTGCTCTTCTGATAATAATCTCAAAACATTTATACAAACAAATGAAACCTCACTCACAGATTCATTAAGATCTTTCGAACGACATGAGGTTCGCTGTGATCTGCTGAGTAATTCAGGAACATTTACAGCTGGTATGAAGTTGTTTTTCTTGTACACCATACAATTCCTTAATCTTATGTTCTATTTTATTTGTAAAATGTTATATAATATTTTGGAAATGCATTTATGTATGTTCGTTGTGAATATCGTAGTATGTAATATTCATTCAGTCACAAATTCCAAAGGACTTGCTTCAAACAACTATAAATTAATTCAAATTTTCAACATATTCAGAGAAAATTAGTATAATGAAAATAAATCCAAAGTTGGGTTGTGAATTCGAACTGTTGAGGAATCCTTCAATTGGACCAAGGAGCTATCCAGAGCTTCCTAGTTTTCAATGGTTTTATAACTAATGTCAGTCAGTTACATAAAACTATGAAAGTTGTACGAGTTTAGATAATAATGGTAACAATGATCACTAAAAAATGACTATACATAGAGCATATAATTTAAAAAGATACGACTGAACATGGGAATTAAACATCTGAAGTAGTCTTCCGACTAGAATTTTAAATGAATATAAACACAGAATTTATCTACACTATTGCCACTGGTTTCGACATATACGGCTTAGATTACCTCAAAGATTCCAACTTTGATGTTTATACTTCTCAACACGTCTCACTCCAGGAGTCAGTGTTTTTATGGACTAATATTATCTTAGTTTGGCTGCTACCATCGGTTTTCCATATAACTCTTATACTGGCTGGCATAACTCGTCAAAATGGGAGATCATTTTAATATAGATATTACTTATCGTCATTCAAACATAAACCGCTTTGTCATCTCGTACAATATAAGGAATTGAACTGATAATTGTCGAAGTTGAAAAGAAGCGTATATTCTTTTGACTTGATGAGTTCTTTTTGGAGACATTTCATAAGCAATCGCTTATTTTTCTCACCAAACCTACACGTATCGTGTAGATCATTCTTTTTACAAGTGTTATATTTGATTTCAAGCACATATATCCTTTTAGTAATATCAGAAATTTTTCCATATTCAAAGTAATTACTAGATTTTAATTCGTTAGTAAGAAGTGTTGTTTTCATCAAGCTAACGAGTGGATTGAAACACGGGTCTTGAATTTCACTATTAACCACTATCCAAATCTCCTTATGATTAGTGAATTGTTTAATTTCGATTATGCGAAGTTTGGATTCAATAGATAAATAACCGGAGTACTTTTCCGAATAATACGCATAGGTACAAATTCGGGTCACTCGGTGACTCATGAATAGATTTTAAGAAATCCTCAAAAATCAGCAGTCGTAAAATATTTTTTATAAATTTCCATTTTATAAATCTCACGAGTAATACGCTTAAAAGCATTACGTAAGCAATAATACATTTGTTTCATACACTTTGTTGCTTTCAACGACAGAACTACGACGTATTTCCTTAATCTCTTTTGGTATTGTCAATAATGTTTCGTTTTAAGATCCCATTCAATTCTCTCTACTAAACCAAGACGTGAGGTTAGTAAATAGAATCATTGTCTATCGGACTAAGCTATGTCGGTCGCTGGATATTGCCTAGTTGAGGTCCACGCGATTATCGTAACCAGCGATTGTGGACGTTCAATGATATGGCTGAGAATCGGTCGAAATGGCTCAGATCCATTCATTCTTTGTCTCATCTTAGATCCTTAGTTTAAAAATGCTATCAGATTTATTCAGTATTTCTTTCAAATACTTTATTTCTTTTTTACGGTAGGTGGTTTTAAAAATCAGTTTCCCGATACATTATCTAATAATGTTGACGCTAAAAATGTCTCTTCACCTACTGATACTTTAAATAACAAAAAAACAACTGAGAAATCAACAATTACTCATAGTAAATGTTTAATAAGTAAACATACAATGAAAGACTTTATGAATAATCAACGTGATCGTATAAATTCTAACCGTGTTGTAACTAAAACTTCAAATACGAGGAAACTAGATTCATTTGTATGTAATTCGTCTAAGCAAAGAACCACACGCAGTGGGATTGTTCAGAGTATGGCTACAAACGGACAAAGATCTATAAAAAGTGTAAGTCCATGTTGCTTTTAAAAAAGTATTTTAAGTCTTTCTGCTTTAGCCTAAACATAATCCTAATTTTCGCAGATTATTCTCTATTTAACCCTGAAAAGCAACAAGAGAATAAAATAAAAAGCTACCTGATGCTTACAATACATGATAGATTTTTTTCATTCGATTTACGCGTCGTTTAGAAAATGAGTTTAATTCAACTCAGATTAAATATAACTCAGTAGATCAATGAACCTATTTGTAACATGTACATATTTCTGGTGCGAGACAATTTTACACTCTCTCATCATCTATTTGAAAAATCGAAAATTTAGTGCTTCACGGAAATAAGAATATTAACAGCTTTCTTATTAACTTTGCTCTTTTCATTCGTTTTCAGTCTATGATGTATTTTTCGCCTTACTGTCATCGCCTAAAACCCACAGATAGACCCTTCTACTTCTTACAGCAGCTGATTGCATTTTGGTGACTGTCTTCTTTTACTAGTTAACATTTTCTTAGCAGCCTCTAAGTAGCTGGTGCCGTTTAAAGTCAACCGAGTTGACACTTTGATTATCAATAAGTGTAGTAGTTTTAGGCTTTTTTTATATTTAACGACTCATCTGCCTACACTTACGTATAACTTACATTGTGGTGCGTGCTACTTATATTGATATAAGTAGTATATAACATGAGGTAAAAGAACGTAATGTCTGGCAGCAGAAGATGGAGAAGATCAAGAAAGGAAGAACGAGAACACAATGGAATTTGTAAGAAATCGCATGAACAATGAAATGTGAGACAATGGATTGATGTTTGCAACAGCAACAGTCCGGTTTGATATGATAGAATGATATTTTTGCAAATTAACGATTTAATATATGGTTTTTCTATTTTGGGAAAATTCCCATTTTGCCATTTGGTAAATAAAGAAGGAACGAATTGAGCGAAGAAATTTCTTTTCAATTAGTTTTTCATCATGGCTCTACACTAATATATATACGTTTTACAATAATAATATAATACTCATCGAGTGGATACGTTACGTAATAATGACATAATGACATTTAAATTAACATTAATTAATTGGAAGAAAGAGGATTATTAATATTCAAAGTGATCAAGAAGTTGCTAAGTTGCGTAATGTAAGAAACAAAGAAGGAACAGAATTTTAACGGATGGTCAATAGGATGGTAGTTACGTAAGAATCAAGAGATGAATGTTGAGAAGTTATTAAGTTCAAAAGCAATAGAAATAAAATTACAAAAGTTCAAAAAATTACAAAAATTACAAAAGTTTTTAAAAATTAAAAAATGGAAGAAGTATGAAAAATAGTTTTTTTGAAGGAAATCTTAAACTGATGGCCAGGGCAGGGAAAGTGGTTGTACGAATCTCTTTTGTATGCAAAGGTCAGGTTTGTGAACATGGATTGCGATGGCTTCCGCAATGTGCAAGAGGCGCACTCGTAAACCATGTGGCAAATTAGATGGGATATTGTAGATAACCTTAAAAGCTTTATTCAATTCGACTTGATGACCTGTGTCAACCAAGTGAGAGAGAATAGAACTTTTAATCACTTTTACCTGTCCTTTGTTTAACCACGACGGATGATGTTCAGTAATGCGGTGACGGACTTGCCGAATCGTACGCCCAATATAACTGGCTCCACAGGAGCAGTTGAAACGATAGATACACATAGATTTGGCGAATTCTGGCAGTCTGTCTTTAATGGATGTTCTTATTTTCGGTTGGTTGTAGAAGATGACATTTAATTTGGCAGCATTAAATGTTTTTTGTACCGCTCTTCTTAGTTTCTGAGTCATGACTTCTTCAATGGAGTCATTTATGAATTGTAGTTTTATGAATAATATCTTCTTGGGGACAGTGGGTATTTTTGTCCTTGTTTTCTTCTCCGTCATATGTTTTTCGATGAATTTCATTGGGTACCCATTTAGACTGAGTAGGTTCCGAATATTGTTCAGTTCATCTTCAATAGTGTCTTCAGAACAGATCATTCTAGCACGATGTGTCAAGATCTTTATTAAGTTCCTTTTGTATCTAATTGGAACTGCACATCGTGCTAGAATGATCTGTTCTGAAGACACTATTGAAGATGAACTGAACAATATTCGGAACCTACTCAGTCTAAATGGGTACCCAATGAAATTCATCGAAAAACATATGACGGAGAAGAAAACAAGGACAAAAATACCCACTGTCCCCAAGAAGATATTATTCATAAAACTACAATTCATAAATGACTCCATTGAAGAAGTCATGACTCAGAAACTAAGAAGAGCGGTACAAAAAACATTTAATGCTGCCAAATTAAATGTCATCTTCTACAACCAACCGAAAATAAGAACATCCATTAAAGACAGACTGCCAGAATTCGCCAAATCTATGTGTATCTATCGTTTCAACTGCTCCTGTGGAGCCAGTTATATTGGGCGTACGATTCGGCAAGTCCGTCACCGCATTACTGAACATCATCCGTCGTGGTTAAACAAAGGACAGGTAAAAGTGATTAAAAGTTCTATTCTCTCTCACTTGGTTGACACAGGTCATCAAGTCGAATTGAATAAAGCTTTTAAGGTTATCTACAATATCCCATCTAATTTGCCACATGGTTTACGAGTGCGCCTCTTGCACATTGCGGAAGCCATCGCAATCCATGTTCACAAACCTGACCTTTGCATACAAAAGAGATTCGTACAACCACTTTCCCTGCCCTGGCCATCAGTTTAAGATTTCCTTCAAAAAAACTATTTTTCATACTTCTTCCATTTTTTAATTTTTAAAAACTTTTGTAATTTTTGTAATTTTTTGAACTTTTGTAATTTTATTTCTATTGCTTTTGAACTTAATAACTTCTCAACATTCATCTCTTGATTCTTACGTAACTACCATCCTATTGACCATCCGTTAAAATTCTGTTCCTTCTTTGTTTCTTACATTACGCAACTTAGCAACTTCTTGATCACTTTGAATATTAATAATCCTCTTTCTTCCAATTAATTAATGTTAATTTAAATGTCATTATGTCATTATTACGTAACGTATCCACTCGATGAGTATTATATTATTATTGTAAAACGTATATATATTAGTGTAGAGCCATGATGAAAAACTAATTGAAAAGAAATTTCTTCGCTCAATTCGTTCCTTCTTTTTCTATTTTACCAAGTAATTCTGTAATTTGTCCTAAATACAATTTGGTTGTCCTCACCCGTGTTCTCCTTCACTACAACATGATCGATCAAAATAATGAAACGTTTCTCGTTCTCTATTTTGTTTATGCTTAACTGTTTCACATCGGTAAAAGCTTCGAAAAGTAAAAACTTACTTTTTGATCAACCTTGTATTTAAGATCCGCATTGTGTTCGGTTACTGAATTGATTACATTATTATTACATTATTTGACGTATAAATAACTTGTCTCCCTTCTATCATTATTAGAAAAGGTTTAGCCTGTTCCGTTGCTGATATTCTTGGCTGAATTTTTATTCCTCTTGTTCAGAATGCCATTATGTAGCTATTTTTTATAAGTTTTTGTGGAGCAGATAGATTATATCTAACTCTGGAACCCACGATGCTCGTCCCGTCCGACTAATGAGTCCTAAATGATATAAAATGTGCTTCCTGGGTTCCACTACTATCCACAATCCACTTATTCTATATAGATTGTCTTATTTTTTTCATTTTTGAGTTAATTGACGACTGAGTAGTAGTCGGATGACATGTTTGTCTAGTGTTGATTGAATTCTATCGATTAAATCTTAATGTGGCATTTTAGTCTCAGTGACTCGACATCACGTGCACTATGTTGAGACGTAAAGTGGTGATTGGATGTAAATTTTAAGAGACCTTGAACCTTGATTTAATGCTGTTTGGCACTTGTCAGCCAGGCGTACCAGTAATCTTGATGTAACTGATTCCCCCTGGTGGATTCAATGTCGTGTCACCCAGCTTCACGTTCTGAGGTGTCACTCTTCAGTGGTCAATCAGTTGTAAATATCATTGACCCGCATAAGGTCAGTAGTGGCCTGAATAGTTCATTAGCCACGTCCTAGATTGTGAAATTGTATGACACGTAATCGAATCCTCCAGGGTCAACCAGTTCCCTCAGGATTGTGTGGGTGCAGCTTGTTGAGTACCAAATAGCACTAAAACTAGGTGCAGGATTTCTTATCGACTACCTCCAACCATCTGACATATGACATGATTATGTAGTCTTCCGAATAAATCATGACGCGCCTAATAGGTAAATTAGTGGATATTAATATCTGGGAATTATGGAGAGTCAGAGTTGCCTATTTAAGTAAACAGCGTTGATTAAAAATCTTATATTAAATGGGTTAACATAATAACAGTTTCAATTATGATTCAGTGACCGATTATTCTGTTATATTCGTCTAGTATCGCTGTCGGTAACTCCTTTTTCTGTATACTGTTTTTTGCTTAAAATAAACCAGAAACTGTTAAAATAAGTTTTTTTTACAATAAGGACTATCTCCTCTAGAGTAAATTTCTTAGAGTTTTAGTGGTAAATCGTGATCGTTGCAATGAATTTAGGGGGAAATGAGATAGGAGTTTTTCGACGATAGTGAATGAGGTTGGCGCAATATAAAAATTTAATTAAACTTAAAAATGTGTACTGGTGAGTTCCAGCTCAGTGATCCGAAGATGCTATGCTCGTTATGATACGTAAAGGTCTTGTTTTAAATACTACATGCAGTCATTAGTGCACACTTCTGAGAAGTGCAAGTTTAGAAAAAATACTTGTTCAGTGGTTCTGTAAATTACATTGATTTGTCCTAAAAAGGAGTACGTTCGAGCTTTACGAAATAGCCTGGCGTAGCAAATAATATTTGGTTATATTGACCACTAACTTCCTTTAGCGACTGTGAAAAAATAGGACGGTCCACTTTTTTCGTTGCACTGGTATGAGTGAATCACTTTGTAGATCTTGCTGGTGTCTGGTCAAGTTAAGGAATACTTGCAAAACGGCCTTGATGAATATTTATTGTGCGTTTCAAATTGAATGATGATCCAAGCAGCATTTGTTGAGATTTTTACTTATGGTATTAAATATTTTGTTTAATTATCAGTTCAACTCATGATCAATGTAGAATGCAATGCATCTAAATAATTAGTCAATGTAAAGGAATTCAATCGATCAATCCGTTTTTGTTTATGTGCATCTTGTGTATATTGCCTCAATATTACCATCAATTTACAAGCATTCTAAATGGTGTTGAATAGTAGCTAGCAATGGAATCCAGGACGTATCTGTTTCTTGTACCTGCATCTCAATATTAACGTTCACTCCGGCACCCAAACCTAGTACCTTTTGACGCGTTCTCGACTTGACTACTGAGTCTACATGGCCACTTGGACAATCTGTATGAATTGCCCCCAAATGCCCTGGTACGGCCGAGAGTAGGGAGAGTTCGCTCTCCCTCTCGAAATGTTCTCACATGGCCACGCGTATATAGCTTCTGCCAGGGAAGTCCTACTCACCGCCTTCTCGTGGTGGGGGTGTTGTTTACAAAATTGAGAGGATGAAAAGCGAATGTCCGACGCTTTAACTGGGTTGGTGGACATAGAAAGTCCATCTAGGGGAGTTGGAAAACCCTGATTCCAAATCAATGGTGCACATGGGCTCCAGTACCCTGAGGGAACAAGTGGCGTATGGACCAATCGTTGGTCACCGACTACCATGGGACTGCATCTCCTTACGTTGCTCCACTGCCTTGTGGATCATACCTTTAGGTCTAAGGCTCTGTGTGTGGCCCCCTAAGAAAACTACCTGCTTCGGTCTGGGCACCCGGACAATATCACAGCCCTCACACAAATCAAGTGAGATTTGTGTGGCGCATATATATCTGGTGCCCCCTTGTACCAGTATTTATGTGTTCAAATCATAATCAAATCAATCACCCGTATGGATTTTAATTCATTTTGGTGTTTGAGTCCTAATGTGAACATTAGATTTGACATTCAGGCACATACAGCTGATAAGTACCAAGTGTGGAGAAACACTGATCCAAAATCTGACGGCAAGCTAATATCTTCCTCTGCTGAATATTAATCAAATCGTTTTCAAATCTTCGATTCTGTATCTAATAATTTAGGTTTTTGTTGATAACTAAAAGATTTTAAAGACTAGTTTTGCATCACTTTTGTTTTGTTTTTTTCTTATTTATTTTGAACTATCCTTTGTATTTTTATTAGAAACCCTCAAATGTTAACAATCCATCCTCAACTACCCAAATAACTCGTAAATCTTCTTTGAAGTCGGCTAATGTTACCAATTTGTTCGTTAATAATAAACAGCTTCCATCGATACCAGTGTGTACATCGAATTCAACTAGATTATCTAGTAAACAAATTAAAACTTCTGAATCCTACAATTGTACAAAATTAAATCCTTTTAATCAAGCTAAAGTATTACAAATGGAACTAATACAATGGCAACAGAAACGCTTAAAATGTTATCAAGAATCACGTAATAATGAAATGGCAATCTCAACAAATAATGTCATTCCGAAAACAAATACGAATTGTATTTCAATCGATGTGGACAATAATATTCCACTTATATCAGATGATAATGTTGATAATATTATTAACTTGAAAAGCATTCCTGGGAGCATTCAAATCAAGAGTAAGTTGTTTAATATACACTTTAATTTTTTTATTATATGTATTGTATAAATTGTTATCGTAATTAACGTTTCCTCTCAGCTTCCCTGTAATCCATTTCAACCGTATAAACATTTATCATCCTTATGATTAATAACAATGATTCTTTATTCTTAATTACTTACTTACTTTCCCCTGCTACCCCTCATGGAGGAGCATAGGCTGCCCACCAGCACTCTCTATCTAACGCTGTCCTGTACAGTCCTTTCCAGTTGCTATTCATCCTTTTTGATGTCCGCTTCCCAATTACTTGGTTTTCCTCTTCTTCGTTTCTCTTCAGGATTACAAGTTAGGGCTTGCTTCGTGATGCAGTTTGATGATTTCATCAATATATGTCCTATCCACATACAACGTCTATTCTTAATTTCCTCTTCAACTGGAAGCTGGTTTGTTCTCTCTCATAGTAGGTTGTTCCTGATGGCATCCGGCCAACAGACACTGAGTATCCTGCGTAGAAAATTGTTTATAAATACTTGTACCTTTTTGATGATAGTTGTGGTAGTTCTTCAAGTTCAAGCTCCGTAAAGTAGAACTGCCTTGACGTTGGTGTTAAAGATTCTGACTTCGATATTCGTCAACAGTTGTTTTAAGTTCCATATGTTCTTCAACCGTGGGAGTGCGGATTCTTTATTCCTGCATGCATTTAAACGAAGAAAAAAAGATTTTAATGTTAAATAATCTACAAAATTAAACTGAAGTTAAAAAGAAGAAAGCGTAACAAGTGTATATGATCGAATAATCCAGCTATATTTTGTTATTATTGTTTTCGTCATCATCATCATTATCATTGAGTAACATTCTCAAAGTTATTCTCCTGAAAATCTGTGAATAATAAAGCTAACTATCTATTGATATAAAAATTCATTTTAATCTAATTTATTAGAAAGAATTCAAATTATCCTATTGTTGATAATGTTAACTGAATTTTTGATGAGTCTTAATTGACATAAATGTGTGTGACTAAGGATTCAATCAAAATTATCAACAGACGGACTGAATCAAGTCTTCTATAATAATAATAATAATAATAATAATAATAATAATAATAATAATAACAATAATAATAATAATAATAACGATAATAATAATAATAATAATAATAATAATAATAATAATATAAATATCATACTTGTTGCATAAGTTAGTGTCTCTGTGAACTTAGTAGCTTAGTGGATAACGCGTTGGACGTTCAAGTCCCGACATGAACATCTCTAGTGGGATGGAGGTATATCCAGCTTGTGAGTCCGAAATAGAACCAAGCGCTGGTTCTCATTTATGTTATGCTTGGTATTCTTCATCGTTATTTCACATTTAATCATTACAAATCAATAATATATCCCGAATTTACTTGTTTATACTTAATGATTGATAGTTTGATAGCCTGCTTCCTAGAAACATAATGGAATATATATATAAATGGATATGTACTAAATTCTATTAATTTTATCACGACATTTCTGATAATTGATCAAGAAGACTTGTAACACATTGTTTTTTGAAGTGAACAAAAATTAAAGAATCTTTTTATCAGAACAGTCTTGTAATTATACACACAAACTCAATTCTATGTTGTTTTTCATGTAGCCTAATGTGAATGGTACATATATTTATTCTATTCATAATTAAAAATAGAATGGTAATTGAAAATTAATGCATTTGTAGGCTTTATATTTGAACAAATATCTAATATGACTTTAATTTGAATAAATTAATTTTATTATCAAATAAATGTAAAAACTGTTTACTAGTCACAACAGTATGCTCTCCAGCATGGTGAATAATTCATTGCATACAAATGATAACATATTACACTTTATATTACTTTGTAAAATTGTCTGCGTATTTGATTATAAAGAAATGCCGTAAATTATTCTTACATAACCAATTCGTTACATACAATAATATTTACTTAAGTATGTATCTCAAATCGGAAAAATGTACCATGTTTGTCCAATCTTATCCCACCGAATCGGTCATCAGTTATGATAGATCAATAATTTTGTTGTTGTCATACTAACATCTACTGAATTTAACTTTTATTTTTATGTTGTAGTTAGTAAATCCCCTACAAGGCTTGATATCACTCAAAGATTGTCTTTTCTGTGAAATTTCGATTCTCGGGTACCTCCTTTCTTCATAACTTGTTACTTTACTTAACAATCATTTTAGATGATCAACAACTACTTGAAAACAACAAATCATCGCCCTCAAGTGATAACGCAGATCAAACTTCGGTGGATTTGGCTATGGTGAATGAAGATCAACCAGTGGTGTTTTGTCTTCCAGGAATTGGTACTTCACATCCTCCTCTAGCAGTTTGTTCCGGTGATTTGTCGATTATTGAACCAGTATCTGAAATGAATGTTCCGTAAGTTGTATTTAGAAGTATTTGTCTTACATCATTCTATGCAGATTATGTGTCAAACTTTAACATAATAGATTAAATTACCATTTTATCTAAACTTGTTCACAATTGTATTCTCTCTATTTCTATCACTGTTTACTTACTCGAGTATCAGTAACTTGTATTAAGTAGTCTGTATTGTCTACCTGTGATAAATATTTTTTTTCTGAATCTTTATACCATTAACACTGTTACTAATTCTATTACTCTAGGGTTTACCTTAAAAACTTCATCTTGCTCTGCTAATGGGGTATGGCAACTTGAACCGACGTGCACACGTACCAGATTTCCTGTTTTATTTGACTAAATGAAACTATTCATTTAATATTGATATGTTTGTAATATTTTCAAGTTACTTTGGTTGTACAATGACTTTTACTCTATTTTTATATAACTTTTAGTTGTAAAAAATAATCATGACATCTGTTGATGATATATTTACTCAGTATCAGGATTCTCTAGTATGCAATGTTGGGTGACGGTTTTCGTTTATCATAGTAATTCTAGTTAACAGTGGATATCATTTAGAAGTCTTTTTATTTCACTCAGGATTACAATATTTCAACTGATATTATGAATCATATTTGTGTAAGAGACTATGGGACGATCTGATTTTACACTCAAATTGAATCTCATCATCATTTTCACAAGTCTAAATATTCAAACCGTTACACTGTACCATTTACACGATGACCGAATAAGTTCAACCATGTTAAAAGCTAAACCGATATGATTGACGGCACTAATATATGATTGTTGTACAGTACCACAAATTGACTGAAGTTGTAAATGTGGACTATCAGATTCTTCATCTTCAGTTATTTTCCGTCTTATGTCAGTTTCGTGATGAAAACTAACTTGATATTGAACAATTTCCAAACATACACACAGATAAACATTAAGTCAATAGGCTCATCAACTATTTGTATGCGTGATAGTTTATGACTATCAAAACAAATTAAAAAGTTTAATCTCATAATACTGATAGTTATTAAATCTTTATTACAGAAGTACTAATCACTTATATGCTTGAAATAATTAATAATAACAGTTAGTGTCATTTGCGGCTAGTTCATTTAGTGGTATGTTGCCATTTTGTGCTGCAAACTTTAGATTACTGGTCCAATAAAATACTGGTGTTTTCTTGTGGATCTGGGATTCATAACACACTTTAAAGGTTACTGTCTGAAGTAACTGACTATAGTTTACATCTAAGTTGTTAATAATAATATTAATTAATAATTAGACGGAAAAGCTTGTTTTGGTCAAATTTTTTAAAGTATTACTCAACTACTTATTTTTTCAGGTAAGTCACTGCCAGTATGATTATATATATTTAAATTATGTTCTCGAATAATGTTTTTTTGTCTAAATATTTCTGAGTTATTTGGTTGTCTCCCTGACCTTTGATTATTTACTTGAATTTAGTGACGACCCAACAACACCAGTAATTGAACATCCTAATAATGTAAATTTTCCGTTGACTTCAGCAATACCACCTCCTGATGTTTCCATTCATGTTTCAAAATCAGACAGCCATAGTGTTAAAAAAATTAGTACCATATCGTGCACACCGGTGTCATCATCTAAATCATACGAACGGAATGACACAGTTTTGTTTAATTACGATCGTCATCAACAGGCTCATGCAAATCGCCAACGTGTAAAAGAATTTGATCGTGTAAGTTTCTTTTCTCAACAATGTAAATCTTTCACTGGTGAGTGAAAATTTCGGTGTGTTATAATAACAATTTTATATATTCAAACAATTCATATGTTGAAGTGTTTCTAAAGTTGTTTCTCATTGCAGTAGAATATCTTACCACTTGAATTGTAACTTAATATTAGTCCTTAGCAAATAAACTACGGACAACAATAAAAACAATTTCATTATCATATTTGCTATCTGATGATAGGACTGTACTACCATTAAGAATACTACCGGTTAGTTTTATTTCTAAGATTTGTTAAATTTTCCTACGTTAGATGCATAATTAAGTTGAATCTTTTCATTCTTCTCAATTTTTCATCCGTTTTCCTGTTGTTTAGATCCGCCGCGAACAATTAATGAAACGAAGAGTATAAACCAGACTAATGTTTAATATTATTACTTTTTAAGTTTCAGTTATTATATATGATTTACACTATTCAAGATTCAATTGAAAACATTATTTATTATTATATTTGGATGTTTTTTTTATCCAAAATAAAGTCTTTCTGTTTTGTGAATAAGTGTCGAAGATATCCATCCCTTAGAAGGTAACCTAAAACCGACTGGAGTAGCTATTTGAAACTTCATGCTCTTCTGATGTTCTGGTAGAGAGCTAGTATAAACCAATTGGTTTCTTAGCTACCTTATTTTCATGCAAGCAAGGGACAGTTGCAGATCTCTGGTTAGATCCGATGGGGTTTTCCTAACCACCAAGTTGCAATAATTTGGGTGATAAGTAAGTTGCGATCTAGGTTCCTTTCCTGACTGTGATTTTTGAACGAGCCAGTCAGAACTGAGAAAGTGATCTCAAGATCGCGACGCTTATTCTAATGCCAAGTGCTTACCTAAGACTATTTTACTATGAATGTTATAGTTGAGTGCTTACAAAAGGTGGGATTGTTAGGAATCTTGGTTATTTGTTATTGCAGTGTTCACCTGACAGAAATGGGTGAAGCCGTCATCCGAAAGTGCAAATTTAGTAGAGGAAGAGGTGTGAAAGAAGACTGAGTGAGCAGCAGTTCCTTAAATTCACTTAGCATGTTTTATATATGTGTCATAAAATACTGCAAAAGGGACATTCCCAACACGCCATAACCTAAAAGGCTACAACATTGGTACCAATTGTACAAAAGTATGCCCACCTTAGTACCGCTATGTATACGGACGACTAGCGGATATACCCGTCCCTATCCACGCCTGAACACACACCATTTCGTCGTTCACAAAAGACATCTTGTAGACCCCACCACTGATGAACAACAACATAGTAGCGTTTTGATTTAGGCTAGAATAACTTCTCTGACTTTATCATCGCTCCAGAGGTCGATCGTTGTGAAGTTACTTCGGTGAGTTTCTGTACCGCACGCATTATGACTTCATAACAGCAGAACCTATACCTAACATCCATAAGTTTTAAAATCATAATAAAGAAGTCCATCCTTTACAGTTTTTTTGGCTTTCTGCTAAACACTATATCAACTTTTTTTCCGATTGTCTGACACTTTCTGGGTCACTCAAGATTTATTCTAAGATCGTCCACAAATTATAGTCTCAATAAGTTCTTTTTTCCTACGTTTTGTACCTGTTTCAAATGCCAGAAGATGCTACTGATACTAGTAAATATCACTTCGTCATGACGAGATCCCATTAGTCATTCTATGTTGAAATACACATGAATTGTGACAGGTACAAGAGAGATGAAATAGTTTAAATAAATAAACAATGGAATAAAATCTAGATTGTTATACATGTAATGTTAGGTGATAGTATTAAGGGATAGTGGTGTTATATTATGACGAAGATTAAAAGAATGGTAATTTCCAGGACTAATTTGTAAACATTTTTTATATATTCACGTCTTATCGATAATTAATTAAGTTGTTATTCATATATATTCTTTTTATCCTAAACTTTCGATTAACTCACTAACTACTGTTATAAGATTTACCATTCCTAATCTGTTGTCAGTTTTCTCACTTACTGTCTTTCCTACTAACAGTCACTTTTCGGTCGTTAATGTATACTTACTTTTCACTTTATGGTGTAATGTGATATTGTATGGTCGTATGTAAACTACATCTGCTTGGAGGCTGATTTACTGACTTCTGGACTCAAGGAGCAAGGGAAGGTAAGAAGCTACAAAACTGAGGTTCATTAGAGACTAAGGAGTTAACTAGTGCTAGTTGGACGTGTAGTAGGTCAACTCAGAAATACTAAGTCATATCAGTTTGGATTCTGAATGAAGGTTTGTCACGTGAAGTAAACATCCACAAAACATAACGAATAGATAGTTCAGTGTAACGTAATTAAGAAACAAATTAAGTGTAACTTTTTATAGCCTGTTATTGTCACACTATTGTGATAAAAGTAAACTATGATGACGATCTTCAGCGACTTGTCATCTAATCAGGAATCAATGTTTAGCTGTGAAATAATTAACAACAGAAGTAGAAAAATAACGGTAAAGTAGTAGCCTTGGCCAGAATAATCGACTCTTGTTCTGAATTACTTTTTATGGTAAGTGAAAATGGTTAGTCTTACAAATTAGGACTTCGGGTAATGTCATCAGTCCACGTCATAATCCTATGAGGTTTTTGTCACCAACTGACTTCAGCTGTAATTTGAAGGATTAGGTCTTAGGAGTTTAGTAATGGTTGTGAGCTCGATTCACAAACTAGGGTTATTTTTTTCAATACGAACTGAGATCAGCTATGATACTATTTGGCTTTAATTACCACCCTTTTGCATATGAACTTTAGAAACATTTTTGAATTTGAGAGTTGGAATTTACAAAGAGAGAATGCTGTCTAGATACACTGAACAGTTTTAACGATGAAATGAATTATATTAACTGTTATAACACGAAACATAGCATAGGCAGATATTCCTTGTAGGTTGGCCTAGGCACCTTTTCATGGATATTTTTATCATTCTCAAGTATTCGAGGAACAGGAAATTGCCATTACTTAGTTCATAATAACAGACACGTTATCCTTCATTGTACTTCCATTTTCACACAATCCACGAGTTTCTATCTTAAGATTAACTAGATCACAGATGCGTAGTGAGGAAAAATGGGATTTCGCGCGAGTACTTTCCTTCTGATGAATTTCCTAGCGGATCATCATGATGGTTGTCAGGCGGGATTGTCTTGTTAAAAGATTTGGACTAAAGAATTCGTTGTAGATTGTGGCGAAGCTACTTCACTTTTGTGTAGCTAAACGAGAAAAGCCATAGCTTACTGAGTCGAACATCTTACGTTTTATGTCATGGCTCTGTAACCTTTGACGAGTATCTTGTGGCCTTTGACATGAATTTGATGTCTTTATTCGAAAGTGTTGAAAACGTATTGTGGATTTAAGTTCGAGGAATGATGTACGTCCTAATCACCGTTATAAAAGGTTCAAAAGAAGCCATATCAAATTATCGAGAAATGGAATTAAGTATAACGAATTCGTCAGCTATATTCTCTATGTAACCAGTGTTCGGCAGAAATTGCCTGAAATTCATTTTTGACAAGGCGTGGAGAAGTTAAATCCTTACTATTATCATCTAAAAATTTATACCAGCATGCTTCTACCTTTAAACGTGTAGAATTTGTATCGTACATATTTTCATTATTGTTATATTAATTCCAAGAAAGACACAATCGTCATCCCACTGTTACCAAAATTATCCACTTTTTCCAAGAATCTGTCATTCGATTGTGGGGATTTTATTCAATATCTAATATCTCTCTCTTATATTCTAAAATATTAGTCGCTACATAGCTATACCCTTTTCTGCTCCGAAGCTATTGTAATTTAAACATGATATTTTGCACCCTATTTTCTACTCTAATTCCCAGCTTTGGATATAATTGTATTTCCCTTAATTATTGTACGTGGTGGTCGGGTTAGTCACCTAGTTATTCATGTACTTTTTTACACTAATCTGAAATCAGGATATCGGGAATAGATCGAGTAGTGTTCCAGTTGTCTTGTCTTCTCTCATTCGTGTGCTTGTCAGCCGATCAGGTGATAGAATAGTTTTCTTCTCTCTACCCCATTTCGAACTCCGGCGTATTAGCCTCAAGGTTAGGTCAGTCTATCGCGCCAAAGTCTCAATCTGGATTAGATAAGTATCCTCAGCACCAAAAGTGGGTAGACAGATCAAGGACTTAACATCGACCAACCCTTTTTGTATTCTCTTTTAACTCCTCAACACTTCAGATACTCCGCATGCTTCCCAAGCAAACAAAGTATTTTCTGACTAGACACGAAGCACTACAATTATTAAATCACCTTTTCTTTTATAATTTTGCACTCAAAATCCCTAAAGGAGAGATAAGAGCGGTTACGGTATCTGGCCAGGACAATACTGACTGCTAACTCGGAAAAACCTGTATATGTAGGCTTCGTGTCCATTCACACAAGGCTCATACAGTTAAACAAGATGGAGAAGCTTGTAGTGGCATTGGACAATAGCCACACAATCCACAAAGCTGTGAACACGAGACTACTCAGAAAATAGATATTCAATATTTAACGCGGAGAAATACCTAACAATGGAGAAGGCGCGAACAATGAATTGAATGGACTGGGGTTGATCGAGTGGCATGGCTCGGCCATGCAGGCGTGGTCCCTGCTGGATGTTATCCTATATCTCATTCATATTAAATATATTGTTCTTTCTCTAGCCTAACCTCGTTCTACATTATGTATTGGTAATTGATACGCTACAGTGAGTTGGTGTAGTCGATGGTGTGACTTCCACGTAAGATCTTATAGATTAGGCAGTTATGTCATGACAAATCTACAAGTTTAGGATTAGGTCTATTATAAGAGCAGTAATAATATCGTAGTAGACTATAATTCTACATTGGTGAGCCCAACTAAAGAAACGCAACCTATTATTATTAATCCTTATTTCCACTTCAACTTTCTCGATCGATTTTATATTTATGTTAACCCTGTATTCTAATAGTCCTCTGATTAATGCTCACATGCATCATTGTAATGTTATATTGATTAGTCCTCATGACAAACTAGCTCAATCGATAATAAAAACTGGTCGTCTATATTAACTAATTAGCTTTGATGATTTGTTAACAAGCTGTAATAGCATTTACATGCTTCAGCGACATAGTCTTGTTTAAACATCAAGCTCTAGCAAATATGACCTGTAAATAGCGTAAATATACATTGACTAAAAATGCGATCAAGGAGTAAATAGTTATCTGGATCTAATTCTCAGTGTTCCTTCACTTAACACCTCATCCTGTTTTAAACGATGCACTATCCTGTAATATCTTTTCTTCCGACCACTGCCTGCCTAATTTCATATTCTCGAGTTCCATTGCCAAACAACGAGGATGACTACTCCAAAAACATAC